TTGCAGGGAGTTTGAATTTTCAATGTCTAGTCCCTCTTTTTACAACATTGTCCAGGATACTCCTGTCCCTCTAGTGTCTGTTCATGATTAGGAAGATTTTGTATAGCCTGTTTTCAATGCCTGTACCTTTTCTGTGGAATCTACTAGGCCTCCCTCAACCTTTATGTATATGTTTTCTCATATTTATTACATTTTTCTGTATCCCTAGTTTCATATGATCCTGACCCTGCTCAGTTACATGCTACCAGTTACATTGTCCAGTTACCTTGTTTTCCCTCCTTCTCCCGAATTTTGAGTAGAGGGCTGGTGCCAGCATGCCTTTTCATCCACCATGGGCTTCTGATCATTATACATTGGCTTGATGTCAGGCCTTTGATCCCTTTCTTGACTTCCAGTAGCTGGAGTCATTTTTGCCTTTGTGGAGGCAGATCCTGTGAATCCTGTACATTTATCCCAAGCCCAGTTTTCTTGCTTTTGTCTTCACCTTACATCTCTCCTTCACACATACCTTCATGATCTGTGGATGGTCCTTTTCCTCCATAAGTCACTTTTGGAGATATTCCTGAATCTTTGGATTCACTTATGGAATCTGCGAAGCAACACTCAACCCTTTCCTCTTTGGTTGTTCAGTTGTCTCAGCCTGCACCCATACCTTACTCTATATTTGTTCCAACCCTTCACCCTCCGAGCTTTGGCCTGTTTTTTACTCCAAGGGTTCATAAGTCCATCATTTGACTTGCAATCATACTCTTCACTGTCAACAGTTCCGGTGACTATCTGGTGGCATCTGGCTCAGTAGGGGCACATTTGTTCAATTTTGTTCACCTGTGAGAGGAGTTCGCTCCCGATCCAGTGTGATCAGGGTTTTGTCAGACTGACTTTTTCTATATTTTCTTCCCCTCCTCCTTTTTCTCCAGTTCCAATATCTTTCCCATTGACTCTGGATCTTGCTATCAGTTACTTCCTATCCAATGTTGTTCTGACTCTTCTCTCACAGCATGCTACCAAGCCTGTCGGCTAGCCTTCCCCAGGTTTTTACTCCAGGCTTTTTGTTGTCCCCAAGAACACTGGGGACTGATGTTCTGTGATTGATCTATCCCACCTCAACCAATATCTGGATCTTCCCTGCTTTACCATGGAATATCTTCTCACTTTTTGATGTGCTTTTTCTCCAGATCTGTGGATGACTAAGATGAACATCTTGGATGCTTACCTTATATTCCAATTTTTCATCAGTCCTGTTGCTGTCTTCACTTTGTCCACAATGGGGTTGCATTTCAGTTTTGCATTTCACCATTCATGCTTGTTTCAGCAATTTATGTTTTATTGACTGACCAAAGCCTTTGCCTGACTTATGCATGCTCGAGGGTTGCACTTCCATCACTGCACAAATGACTGGCTTCTGTTAGCTCCTTCTGAACTGGTGTTTTCTCAACACTTGTTTGCTATTGACAGAAGCTGTTTGTGTTG